ATACGTACGAAACTTAATTACCACACTCTATCAGTTCCGTAGAATACCTTTCGGAGTAACGAATGGAGTAGCCTGTTTTCAAATGGTAATGGATGACATAATACGCGCCGAACAACTTACCGAGACATATGCGTATGTGGATAATGTTACCATTTGTGGAAAGAATCAAGAAGAACATGATCGAAACCTCCAGCTTTTCCTCACCGTAGCACAGAAGTACGGCCTTCAGTTAAATCACGATAAAAGCACGATTTCCACCACTAAGCTCAGACTCCTCGGCTATGAAATTACTGAAGGTATCATCAAACCAGACCCTGAACGCTTCAGGGTATTGCAAGAACTGCCCATTCCGAACGACATCAAGTCTCAACAACGAGTGGTAGGATTGTTCGTGTACTATTCTCGTTGGATAAGCCGTTTCTCGGATAAGATCTACCCAATCACTCACAATACAACCTTTCCTGTCCCTGAATCTGTTATAAAAGCATTTGAAAGTTTGAAAAAGGAGTTGATGGATGCAGCCTTGATCACTATCGCCCCGAGAATACCTTTGGTACTCGAACCTGATGCATCTGATGTCGCGATTTCTGCTACACTCACTCAGGACGGCAGACCGGTCGCATTCTTCTCACGTACGCTGTCTGCCAGCGAACAACACCATTCCGCTATTGAGAAAGAAGCGTGCGCAATTGTCGAAGCAATGCGCAAATGGATGCATTACCTACTCGGGACCCATTTCAAAATTATAACTGATCAGCGATCCGTTGAATTCATGCATTCAACACAACAAAAAGGGAAAATAAAAAAGGACCAAATCCAACGGTGGCGGATGGAGTTATCGCCTTTTTCTTTTGACGTTACCTGCAGGCCAGGCATAGAAAACAAAGCTGCTGACACGCTTTCTCGGAGTGTGTGCGATCACTTCATCTCACCTGGATCTAAAACGCTTACACACAACCCTGTGTCATCCTGGAGCAACACGCATGATGCATTTCGTTCGTGCCAAGAATCTTCCATTCTCCCTAGAGGATATCCGACTAGTCATTAAGCAGTGTCATGTGTGTGCGGAACTAAAACCACGTTTCTTCAAGTCATCTGG